TAATGCTCAAACGTTGTTCCTTTTTTAGTTGAACTTTACTGATTATCAGTGCCAAGTATGCCACAGGGTAATTAGTGACTGCCCACTGATTTAGATTTAGAGAGTAGTATATATATGTATATATACACGTTTCTTTAACTCCCTGCGTAGAGCATAAGGCCTCTAATAAGGCTTCAGTAACAATGGATTTTTTCCGGAATTAAGTTGTTAGCCTAATGTTCAACCCCTAGCCTGGAGGGTCTATATATTCACTAATATAGTCACTAATATATAGGACTTACAATTTAACGCCGGATTTGAACGGCGCTGGTGATCAAAGGTCTCTTAATTAAGTGGAGCCATTTACTCAAACGCGAAAAATCGACCATGTGGGCGCAGATAGGATTGACCCCGGATCTACAGATCGCAAGTCAATCGCACCGAGTGGCAAGCCACTCGACGTCCCAATTATTTATTATATCTAATATATATTTTTTAATATATAAGATAATGTATATATAATTACAGTTTTATATATATATATATATATAACTGTAATATATATATAGTCGTCTCTATATTTGATTTGATTTGGTACACATACTGTATTAAATTAAATATTACGTAATATTTTTATAGCAATTTTTCAAAAAGTTATAAATACGCGGACAGTAGCTTATTCTTCGTTTCATTGATTACCAGAGATATATTCAAATCGGTTATTAGATTGAATCGAGCAAAATCATAGAGACTAAATGATATTTTCTTGATCTTCCTACGTAGTTTTCTCAAATATAGAATATATCATCAAAATTTTAGAAACTCTATTGTCGGTAGTACACACAATTTCACATTTGATCCTTCATACTCGTACTTCTCATTGGAAGAGCAGCCACGACGAACGTGGTTGGTCAGAATGACCGTTAAGCGGATCGGCCGATCGATGAGGCCAGTTGAAACCATGAATCGCTCTGTGGTTGCCTCTCCGACCACTCGTTCGGCCCAAGTGTTCTCCCGCGCGTACCTCTCCTACCAAGGTTCCCTCTTAACGAAGTATCAATGTTACCACCCGCGGGATTACGTATTCAGAGCTCGGTGTTGGTTGGTGTACATTGGCTATGGCGCTACAGGCTGCAGTCGCGAGCCAAGTGGAGACGACCAAGAACCATCGTATACGGACGAGATGCGGCCAGAGATCGTGGCGACCGGAGGTGGGTTGGCAAAGAGAGTGGTAGCCAGAAAGGCCAGGAGTAATGATGTTTGTTTAGCTCTCAAGAAGAGGGTCCGCGTCAGGGATGGAAGATACGGGTTTTGGCACGGAGATGATGGGTGAGGGAAAAGACCCTACCCTTCGTCGTTGAGCTCTCTTCGTTACATCCTCCTTCCTTAGCTCTTCGTGTCTCTCTCTCTCTCCCTCCCCTCTCTCTGTCTCTGTCTATCTTACCCTTATCTCGCCATCTGCCGTTTCTACTGCCTCTTCTCCGTCACTCCAGCAGCTCCTCTCATCTTTCTCTCTAGTCCCGGTCCTCGCCTCGTAAATTGAAACTCCCGTGTGTTGGCGTCCGTGCATCTGGAGCTCCTTAGGAGTTAAGCTACGCAAATTAGATTTTCTGCTTAGGAGCCAGAAGTACGACTCCCCTTTCCCTTGGCGCCTCGCCCCTTTTCATCCCCCCCCCTTCCTCCCCCTTGGCTCCTGCGAGACCTGCACGAGACCGTGTGCAAACGTTCATCCCACCTCTTGAATATATACGGCCACCACCTCTACACGTCTTAAATCTTTGCGTTTGCGTCATTTCTGGCTCTTTTTTTTTTATTCCCTTTTCCGTAGTTTTTACGTCCTCTTATCTGTGCCCCTACTTTCTCGCCGCCCTCGCTTATCTCCTCCCTTGCTGGTCCGCTTCACGTCTTTGGTCAATATTATCCGCGACGCGTCAGGAACGTCTTAATACCTTTTTCTTTAATCTGGGATTTACTCTCGGTAGTGGAGGCGACGCGAAGTTTTTCTATCTATGGCCCGGAAATTTCTTCTGTCATGTTGGAGAGTACTTCTCGTTTTCTCGAGAACGTTCGTTATGTACGCCCGTTCCTTCATGAAATGGAATTTGTTGCCTGTTTGCTGGATCCCAGCAAATGTTTGCCGACAGACTGTACCGTTTAAGCTATACGTGAGTCGTCATAGCAACCGTGGCTCATGGTTAAATAGTATCGCTTCGCATGAGTGCTTGCGAGGATTCCACAGGAAGTTCGTATTCCGCCGGATGTCAACAAGCTTCTTTTTTTGTACCGAAAAGCCAGGGCCTTGTCTGCGTTAGTTTCGCGATTTTTATATTTAAATGACATTGAAGATACATAGATGATAAAAGTAATTAAGAATTTTGTAATTTTGAACTATAAAAATCAAAGCCTTAAACGGTCTAGCTAGATCTTAAATGCTTGTATGATTCTTATATGAATTTATGTACTACATATGTAGTTCTTAGAAACGCGGTTTAAAGGTTTAGGACACTCGCACGGAATGCAAGAGATACGGGTTCGACTCTCGGCCGAGGTAATATTTTTCGCAATAAGAATTAATTATTTATAGATTTTAATATGTCATTTAACATTATTAAGATCGTTTCGAAGATGCGAATAAGTATCAAAAAATTGTTAAATTGCTAGTCAATTTAACTCGTGATATTACTGCGGTAGTTTAGTAGAGTTAGCGTTTCAAGATCGAAAAATCATTTCTAAGGACTACATACGTAGTATATAAATTCACACAAGAATCATACAAACATTTAAGATCTAGGTAAACCGTTTAAGACTTTGATTTCTACAGTTATCACCACATATACGGTCCTATAATATATTATATTGTTTCTAATTTTAACTTTTAGTTCATCTATAACTTGTCTCGTTACTGTTGCATACAAAAAATCAAATCATCTTTCGATTTCTCATCGTATATGAGAAAGTTAAAAATTTCAAATAATACAACACTTACACGATCGACACTTACGTTTCTTTCTCCTTTTGTTAAGTAGTTTTTTGAAGTCAAAAGGAAGTCCGTATTCAGGAAAACGATGATATTCCTTCGCGACTTCGGATTCGGCTTTTCTCGTTTCACCGGAATCACCGGCGATTCATGTACCCTTCGCGTTCGTCGAACATTTGGAAATAACAGCGAAACGAGAAGCGGAAAAGACTTTTCCGATAATGGAGGCTCGGAATCGTGCCATCGCACGTTTTCCGTGTCGTCACGTGGCGCGGCGGCGGCCGCAGGTGCATTGGAAATTAATTTCGGCTTAATGCCGCGGCGCCGGTACCGCGAATCCTTCGACGTGACGATGAATTCCCGATGCCCTCGAGACGTGATATTCCGAATCTCGTCCGCGGGATTCCACGAACAGCCACGCATTAGAGCGAGTTTAACCACGTCACAGGCGTTCTGTACTTCTCGCATTATTGATCCCATTTAGTATGTACCTAATCATCTTGTTTGCCTTTCGTTTTTTTTTTCTGCGAATACTGAAATTTATTTAAAGAGCGTAATATCTATAATAATGTTACAACATAGAAAAGATGGATTGTTACTTATAGTAAATCAATTATTTCAGTGAAATTATATTACAGTTATATTGATTCCTTAATTCGTTTTAAAGTTTACACACACCTAGGATATTATTTTGTAAAATAATATTGACAGAGGAGAGTATATTTGTTTTAATTATGTTACTTTTGGTGTTACCTCGATGATACCGCTTGATTATATTATGCATGGCATTTCGAGAGGCAGAGACAGGCTCGTGACGAAAGACGCAGGGCAAATTTATTGGAAATGTTAATCGTTCCTATCGTTCATGTACCCGCGGAATTTGCACGATTTTCCACGACGGCGAACTCGTCGCCCATTTGAACGAGGCATTAGCTTTTCGGGTAGAACACTGGCCGCATTCAATTCCTCGGCCTTTGGCTACCTGAAATAGTTCCTGAAATAGTCCGCGACCTGGAGGCGCGTATAATAAACCTAATCCCACATACTTAACGGGTATACTATATCCAGGACCGGCACACGATGCGGTCGACATTAAATCCGCGAGTAATTTCTACGTATTGCGGTGATACCGGTTATCTCTTATTCTTTAATAGGACCGACAATAATAGCATCATTTATCAGGGAAGTATTAACGGCCACCAAATTTTCTCCTCGTCCCATCTCGATACTTTGCGGCGAGAATAACTAATTTAATTCTGTGGCACAAAAAAATAAAATCTTTTATATTATATTTTTTATTATTAACAATATTAATTGTTCGAAAGATTGGATTTATTTTCATCAATCTTTTGGAATAGAAAAGTGATTATAAAGTTTTTATGTTTTTAAATTTTTATAACTTTCATAAATTGCATATATAATGCTTTTTATGGATTTATTTTATAGATTTTATTTTATGTGTAGAAGATTATAAAAGTTTAAAGTTGCACGAAAACTTTATTTATATTTTACTTTTGAAATAATATATCGAGCAAAACTGCATAATAGAATAAATACGTTTATTTGACGTGTAACGACTCTGTTATGTTAAAAACGCGATTATTATCGTTCGTTGCAGAAATTGCGAAATTATTCTTATCGATGCTAGACACAATAATTGTTGCGTTGTGCGAAGATAAACTTGCCAACAGAAAAGATCCGCGTTTAATCATTTGATATCATTGTTCTAATATCTGTCATAAAACGATGTCCTCGCTTTACAACGATTAGCATGCTAATTGAAAATTGTAGCCACGCTTTAATTTCTTGTGCAGTTTAAAAATAGACTTCGCGTGACTCTTCGTACGTCGCTAATGTACTCGATGAAAAGAAATTCCATCGGATATGTGTACAATGTGGCTTCCACTACACCATGATGATAATCGAGAGAGTTGCACTCAGTGGCAAATGTAACGTAATTGTGTATAGCCGCGATTCGACAGATGCCATATATAATTTTCATCTACACTGCTGCTGCAACGATGGTTGTTTCTCTCTGTTACAGATCTGCGGGAAGGTGTTCAACAATGCATCGGCGCTTACGAAGCACAAACTGACGCATAGCGACGAGAGGAAATATGTGTGCACGATGTGCGGCAAGGCGTTTAAACGGCAGGATCACCTGTGAGTACTGATTAGAGAATTTCTCACATCAGAGATATCAGCGATATTTTGCGAATATGTTACATTTTACGAAATAAGCTCTTAGTAACTTAAAATTGACAATATAATCTCTGATAGCAGATAACTGTTTCATCCAGATTGCAATGCTTTCGAATTTAGTATCAAAGTACTGAAACTTCATACAACTATGGTCTTATGCCATTGATATTTGTGTTTTCGTGCGCAGGATTGGATCATAGTTGTAACACAGGACTATAGTTGTGTGAAATTACGATATTAAATGAGAATTATATATATTACGAATTGATAGCAATATTTAGAAAAGAAAGATATTTATTTACAGTAAATTCGTACCAGTAGCGTTACGTTGCAACGTTGCTCTACAGAAAGAAGTTTTGCTGAAGTATCTAAAAATTTAGTTAGATAGCAGATTTAAGAATGATTTTGTTGGACCATCAAAAGAATTACGTAGAACGCTCAAACTGGGACGTTCAAATTTTTTGCAGCATTGCTTATCATACTTGTGTGAATTTCCTATATAATTGTTTTGATGATCCAACAAAATTATCAAGCTGTTTCTAAATTTTTAGATACTTCAGCAAAATCGTTCTTTCCATGTACGATCTCGTTAAAAGTCTATTCCACTTTTCGATCAACATCTTGCGTTTGTACGCACTGCATTGACACACAACAGATCCGTTCGTCTTTTCGCATTTCTTCCCCTTTCTTCGTCTGAGCGTCATAGGGCGTATTACAGATTCCCCGTGCTTATAAAACAAGAACGAGAACAACACTCGAGCCAGAGCTTAAAGGAAAACGCTCGTGCTCGCGGCAGTGAGCCGTTCATTATGTTCATCAAAGCCTCTCAACGCTCCACTTCGGCAATAGCGTACGCAGGTATATCGTTCGCGTACGAGTGTGCGTTATACGTATGTGTACGTGCATGTGTAGATGTATCTCTCTGCGTTCTCTTCTTTGCTGGTGCGCTCGTAAGAAGCCTTCTAAGCTGCCCCGGAGTGCCTTCTTAAGGCCGGTAGTTGGAGAAATTTCTACGCGTAGGTATGCCGAAGTAATCCCTTAGATATTTCCCTTACGTAATGCTTGGGTTGTCCGGGTATTGGATGGGAGAGCTCGCGGAGCTTGTATCGGCACGTACGGGTATTAAAACTTTCTTGAATTTATGGTGGTAATAGTGTTGCTAAAAAAAGTTCGTTCGGAGATACGTTTCCCTTTATACTGAATTTTACTTTATTTTCATATACATGTACATTGAATAATTTGAGTAATAAAAAAGCGACTACGAAATTAGAATGAAATGTTGCATTTAGATATTTATTGTCGTATTTAAAAACCTTTTATCTTGATTATATTATACTCACTCGTCAAATTAAGGCACTCCCAATATTTAGTTCACTTGTCTTTATAAATCAACTATCTAAAGTTAGCTTATAAATTATTCAATTTGAATCTAATTTAGTTTAAATTATTGTAAGTAAAACGTACTAAAGGGGAGAAGGGAAAATACAATACATCTAAATGTAATGGAAAACGCCATCTCGCGCGACTTAGGATTTTCGCTTCGGAAGCCTGTCCTGAGACACGGATGAGGAAAATGGACAAGCGCGATATAGGAATCAAGAACAAGAAGCGAGAAGGGGCGGCGTACAAAAGCGGGTGATGGAGGCAGACCATAGCGACTAAGGATTCAATTCTTGTTGGGAACGGGCAAAGGAATAACGCGGAATCAATAGAGGTCGGTCTCGCGATTCCGCTCAGCTTCGTCGTTGTAGTGTTGTCCGTCCGACGCGGGTCGAATGCCTCGGCTAGGTTGAACTCGTTGTATTTTCTCGAAAGACGGATCTTCAAATCCTCCCAACCCTCCCCTACATCCTCCCCTGCACTCCCCAACCTTGTTCGGAATCCGCCAGGGCCGACAGGGTCCATTCTACGGGGACAGTATTTTTCTTTTCTTTACTGCTTTCTCAATGTCTTCTCTCGTTCTATTTCCTCAAACTCAAGCGACTCGTCGCGTTCAATGCGACTCGGCGGAAGGGTGCGAGGAATTACTTACGTTTCATTGCGAACATTGGATTTGTGGCTCTTCTAGGCGGAGCTCTTGCTTTCTCTTTCTCTTTTCCATCCATTTCGTTCCACCGATAAATGATAATAGCGTTCAATCTGCCTAGAAGATCGTAAAGGGTAAGACATATCGATTTTAACTAATTTTATTGCTGCCTTAAGTTTGATGTCTTCATTTATTTTCACTATTTGACAAATGTTCTACGAATAGATTGCAATAAATCCATGGTTGAAAGTACTGAACTTCCGTTATCGTGATTTATCTCGTTTATCGGCGATATCGATGCGAGCGTTGTTTTATTTACCATATCTACTATCTTATACCGTATAATCCGGTGAGAGTTTTTCTTTATTTACTTGTTGGCATAAGTTAAACGTTTGTTTGTATCCATTTCATTGAGTACCGCTTTCGGACGATATTTCCCCTCGACTGCTGGGATCCGTATATTCCCAGATGCAAGTAAACGAACCGTGCGATACTATCTCATGCGCGAAATCGCGAAGTCTTTACCCCAGTTCCTGTTTTTCGCCGGAAGCTGCCGCTTCGTCTTCCAAGAAAGCGTGCGCGATCAAGAGAATGCACCCCGGAGTTCCTTCTTTACTTTGGAAAACAGGCTAGCTTTTTCGTTGGATTTGCATCGCTGATATGGAAAAGGTAACGCTTAACGTTACGCTTCTCCGATAAAGCACGTATTGGCAATTTAGCGTAACCACAATATTGCTTGGGTACGATATTCTGCGTCTCGAGGCTTCATATATATCATATTACGAGTTCGCGGCGGCGAAAAGAGGGAACAATAATAGGCAACCTGAGCAATAATAGTGCCATGGGCGAAGATTTTACGGAGGAGAAAGAAGAGATCTTTCAGCTCCATTCCCCGTTTGAATGGACTTTCAAACTTAATTGAGAACGGGAAAAAGTCGGCACGAAGTCTCGCCGTGCTTCATTCTCTTCTCTAAGAATTGGCAGACTACAGTTGTGCAACTACAGTTTCCATCGTCTCTCACCTTCTTTGTCCAGACAGGTCTGCCATTGTAGATCTTTTGTCGAGTAACCGTTATTTACAATTTTTTAAAATTTTAAAAGTAATGTGTATCTACATTTGCGAATATTATTACTGCAGAAAAACGGAATAATTTGCGTTTGGCATATCATAGTTAATATTTATTAATTTTTGAGAGAGACTTGATCAAGAGAGAAAGAGAGTTTTGGGATAATTTTACGTAATTATAGATACGCAAATAATATTCGTACCGTAGTTAACACATTTAGTTTGAAACATGCAGAGATTTCTAAAATTTTTAACTATTGGTAAAGTTGGCTTTATAGATAATAAAGAGGAAGAAGATGAAAGTATGTGTCTTATCTCAAAGTCGATATTATAGATTCTCTAGACTGACAGATTGACTTTTCACTACTTCTTAGATTCTTTACTGATTCGTTACATTTGTTCCTCTTGATATCCTGAAAACTTTACATAAGTTCATATCCTTTAGATTTTGTTTTAAAAAAAGAAAATATATTTTATATAATCTACATATATTTCTGATATAATAATTTCCTAAAATATATCGTAATATGATTTAGGACGACATATGTTCAATCTATTTTTTTGAATATTACAAAACAAGAATCATTCTATTATAAATTATGAACAAAATTTAATACATTTTATACAAAATAATATATAATGATATATAGATAATAATAATAGACATAATGAACGAAACATTTGTTAACGTTGTACGAATAGATGCTCTAACTTAAAGATCCGAGAATCTGGTCGAAAAACAAAAGGCATAGGCGCTTTGTCGCTTCTATAATATATCGCATTTCCCGAAAAAAACTAAGGGACTCGCCGAACGATAGCTTCGTCGATTTCTTCCAGTATCGAACAAGGCACCATTGTACGTTTCTCAGTGTATCTCTGTTATCGAAGTAAATCCACGTAGTCCCTTTGCTGAATCGGAGCGCCGCCGCGCGAAATAAGGAACGGAAGCGCTTACACCTCGAGAGGAATTCTCTTCGAGAGCTTTTCTTCGAACGCGTAGATATATACCGACCGCTTCTTTCTCGCTCGAAAGGGATTTGAGAGGACACTGGAACTAAAGGGAAGAACGACAACATGAGCAACGGTGGAGGAAAGCTGGCCCTTCGAGGAACAAAGTCTTCCCCCTTTGCTTGTAGCACCATCGAGAGCTTTACTTTTCAGAATGCGTTCGATATTTCGATAATTGCTTCCTTGTGACCCTCGTCATATCAAGGAGTTACTAGTACTAACTTTTTCAGAAACAAGACAAGATAAAATAAATATATTTCCTCGTTGGTCTTTATAATCTCTAAACTGAAAAGTATATTGCATTCTTTATAAAAAATAATATATTATAATTTGTAAAATGACAACGCGCGATAATATTAATTGCCTCAATAGTTGGAAGTGTTGAGAATAAACCATCTTTACATCTGGGATAATAAGGAAGTAAATATGTAAAAAATGTAAAAAGAGATAAGTAGGCTTTTTTTGTTAATATTTTTGTTAGACTGTTGGGGTTCAGGCGGAAATAATTGACAGTTGGTAATTAGTATTGATTTAATCACTGTTCTTCTAGGCAAAATTTCCTCACGTACTCATCGACGCGGCCTTTTGCGAGATTCAATTAAAGTTTTGTAGAAATTCTGATTGTCAGCCGCGAGCACAAGTTTATAACAATTAATAACAATTTCCTTTTCATCGTCATATCGTCAAGTTATGACATAAGATAATGAACTTGCGATGAAACGTGAATTTCACTATGATTCCAGATAATGAAACTGCTACTCACTTGATTTCAAACGACTGTTTAGATTTACTTAATTTTTTTACAATCCAATAAAATGAGAAAGAAGAAAAGTCAAAGAAAGGTCAATGAATCTCAAAATTAAAAATATATAATTAATTAATCATTTATTTAACGAAATATATAAATATTTCATTTAATTTTAATCATTCTCAGCTAAGTAATTAAAAGAAAATTACAATATAATATAGATGAATAAATTCATAAATTAAATAATTAAAAGTGAAATAAAAATGGAAACAAATGTAAAAGTCACATCGAAGATCGATATATAAAGTTGGCAGTAAAAGTAATCTAAAATTAAATATTATAAAAATAAAATACATTTCTCACGATAAATCAAACGGTAAGGAAAAATTGTCAAAGAATAAAATTATGTCTTGTTTCGTTTGAAGACGAGAAAAAATAAAGTCAAAAGTCAAAATAATAAAATTTGAACGTGTATTATTTCGGATGCCTGTGTCGTATACTTGTAAAGAACAATACCAATGAGTTTGTCGACATAAAAATTCGACTGAAAGGTATGGCAGTCTGAAGATTTATCATAGCTTGTATTATTACGAGCAACAGAGAACAAATGAAATTCTATTGTACAGGAAAATGAGCGCAATTTATTATTGATTTGTTTTTTTACAATTATTTTTACAATCTCTCATTGTTATTGTTGCAACAAGAAAATATGTGGCTCGATATTAATTAAATAAAAAGATAACAGTGAAAAAATAACTACACGAAACTGTGCCATACCTCGAAATGGATCTTGCTTTAACTTTCATATTATTATTTGTTATCCAAATCACTGTTTTTCTAAACAATTAAACTATTTTGTTAACCAAATGTAACCTTCGAATTCAGTTTACCTATTTATTTAATATCTTCGATGAGTTAAAAATTTTATTTTTTCTACAGCACTGATTAAATAACTATTTTAATAAAACACGTCAGTTGATCAGCGGAAACAACCATTCATCAGATAAAAGCTAAGGATGGAATCTATGTTCGCTTTCTCTCGCTTTCTTTCCGTGTCTCGGAAAACGAAAAGGAAGAATGATACACGTGCGGTCGACACGTCCCAGGTGTTCCTGATTATCTGCGGGAAGGGAAAACGCTGGGAGCTCCGAACGGGTCACCTTAAAAGTTCGACAAATTAGCTTTTACAAATTAAACCCTTCCCACGGTCCCAACTTTACCGACGGAATTTAAGGGAATCCGTTCGTATATCGATAGACTATAAAACTTCACCGGATAGGAATGGGCCTGCGTCTGGCCGAGAATTTACTGGAAACGATATCCCTTCCATCGTGCTCGCCGTATCCGTACGACTTCTTCTTGCAATTCACTGCGGACGGTTCCACTGCGAAAGATCCGACGAAGGATGTCCACGCTTGGGATCTCGTTAAAGTTTCAGGGAACAAAAGAGGCAGCCCTTTCGAGAGTACAACGAACAAATTTATATAAACACACTAGATAATGTGTGTGTTACCGATTGCGTATACGGTCGGATTAGTAATTAATCTTAAATATTAGTAATAGTCAACCAAAATTAGTTAATCAAATTTTTATTAGAGTAACAAAATTTTAAAATTAAAAAGTAAAAAAATTGTTGTAAGTCAAACATTTTTCTCAGTGTTGCAATTAATCCTAAATTATAATCAAAGAAGTAATGTTTCTAAATATGTAAAAGCTAAATATATTTTGCAACTTTTTTTACATTACACTTTGCATGGAAAAGACGGTTTTGCTGATTATTTAAAAATGTAGCTAGATAGAGATCTGAAAATAATTAATGATTTGTTGCTCAAATGTCAAAACTCTTGCAGTACTTGTCATCGTACTTGAGTTTCCTATAATGTAATTATTTTGATGGTCTAACAAAATTATTTTCTGTATTTAGCTCAATTTTTGGATACTTCAAAACGAAATTGTCTTTTTCGTGAATATCGACATAAATAAGGGGCTGAAGATTGTCTCATTTACAAATAGATTGTGTGTTTCAATCGAGATACTGCGTGTTATTCTGCTTATCGAGCCGATCGACGATCTTGCCATTGCAGTCGTCAACGGTGGAATCGGCTGCGAATCGCGTCAATGGGGGTCATGGATTTTATCGCGATCGCTGGCATCGTGAAATCGCGCAACTTGTTGCATGCCGGACATATCCTCGGATCTCCACGTCTTTCCCCAACGTTCTTTTGTAATGTAGAGAGAATGGCCAGGTTTTATTTCCAGAATATCGCAGTGGTGGAGGAGGAATCCCTTCGAGCGGTTCCGCGCGCGAGCGCGTTTTGCCCTGTAGATGTCACCCAGAATATCGGCAAATGGAGTGGATAAGTCTTTGGGTGGACTGGCGGGGTGTAACGGCAACACACTAGGGATGAGTTTGAGATGTTCCTCCTAGATAAGACAGGGGGAATCGTGCCCAGCGGTATATGGGATTTCCCGTGCTGGGTAGATCGTCGATATAGATAAGCGACATAATCGGACAGACATAATTTCGGGCGGGCACTAAAGAGCAGGTGTACGATCAGATTTCCGTGCCCATCGAGCATCCGCGAATGCTATATAGCGTGTCGCCCGAGACGTTCTTATGATTAATGCTGAATGCGAGAGGAATTCGAATAGGAGCGCGTAGGATATTCTAGCCTCGGTGATATTTCCTGACCGAAATGTTACAGTCGATTTATATTCCGGTTGAAATGCCAGCAGGCGATTTTCTGTCGGAAAAGATGACGGTTCTCTTTAAAAAGTTAAATTTCTGAACGAAATTTGTTATAATAAATTGGATAACTGTGATCGTATTACAAATTGTATTTTTATCGCAAGTTTTAATTGTTGTTAACTTAAGTTAAGTTTTTATGAAAGGAAAGAATAGAAGTAAGAGTTATGAGGTTCTCTCAAGCGAGGACTGAAGTTTTCTTAATTTCACAAAATGTTCGATTTATTCCTTTTTTGAGGAACACGGAGAGAATAATTTTACTGAAGTTTGCTAAAAATTCAGCTAGATATAGATTTAAAAATAATTTTGTTGGACGATCAAAATAATTATTTAAAACGCTCAAAAGACTTGTCAAAAACATTGTTCATCATGTTTGAACATTCTACATAATTATTTTGATAGTCCAACAAAATTATTTTCATAAATATGAGAAAGAACGCCAATAATCGGTCAAAGTTAGATGTTATGAATACAATATTATATTCTTAATTTTTAAATTTAATTATCTCAGATATGACTGTGCGCCGAAACGTTCGGACATTAACCATCGATCGATCTGAGACGCTAATAATATAAATATGATAAGGCGTCGAAACATTTGGGCACATTCCTATATATGAATTAAATAATCCCCCCTAAATTAATTCGGTAAAGAACTAATTGCGAAAAATATTACGTCAGCCAGGATTAAAATTATTTTCAGATCTCGTAAATTTTTAGGTACTTCAGCAAAGCCGTTCTTTCCATGAAGAAGTTAAAAACGTTTTGAAAAAACTGTACTACACGTGTTATGTTTTGCAAACATTGAAAATATGACGGATTTATGCTTTTGGAACTAACAAGCTGAATCTTTTTGATTGTACAGGAATGGACACATGCTGACACATCGAAATAAAAAGCCGTACGAGTGCAAAGCCGAAGGATGCGGCAAGTCTTATTGCGACGCGAGGAGCCTGAGGAGGCACACGGAGAATCATCATGCCGGCAGCAAAATCAACGACATCATCGGTCCTTGCAGCCCCACGACCGGGCCTCATACGCCTAATACCCCCGGAAGCAATCCTAGCACACCAAGCACACCTGGTGCAACCTCCACGACGAATGGTCACGGGCATGCAGCCTTGAAGCAGCTTCTTTCCACCGAACCCGCGCAAACGCAACAGCAAAAGGTAAGTCATCGCGTCTCTTTCCAATTCGTTGAATTCTTTGACTAAATTGCGAGTAAGAAAATGCGTTATATTTATCATGTTTAATTAATTTATTTCCGTAAAATATAATTTTACTTGAAATGCGATTATTGCAATTTGTATAATTATAGTTACATTACATTGGTACTATTATTAAGTTAGTAAGCTTACAAACAAAAAAATAGAGATGACCAATCGATTCTTAATTTGTTTCGCACGAAACGAACGAGGGATTTGAGTCTCACGTCCTTATTGTTTCTGTCGATCCGTCGATCCTCGCAACGTTACCTGTACTGTATATTTCACGATTGAATTTTCTCGAAATTGGTCTGGAATTGCTGCGCCCGAGATGGGTTTAAGGGCTTACAGAGCGAACCTTTCAAAGAGTCGGTCAGCGTGCATCCAACGCGAGTCCGCAAAGATGTAAGAGGATTAGGTGGCTTTTCCGCGATTGCTGAGTATGTCGCACGATCCGTAACTAAAACGCCATTAATTTCTATATCGTCTTTATCATTCAATTTCCCCGATCCGTTTAACCGCATATCGAGCTTATATGATATTACATAATTAAGAGGAAATATACCTGTTTCCAACATGAAGACCACAAAATGAAATCTTCAAAATGAAGATGATAATTCCTACTCGCATAGAATCACGTTAATTAGAATTTGAACCCGCAAGTCAGTCAGGTTGTTGAGCTATATAGAGCGGAAAATTTCTTCTCGATCTCTTTCGAAAGCGTTCCTTCTCGCTTTTATCTCCTCGCTCTATGGATTTAATTTTATAGCTTGCTAGCTTTCGGTAACTTTTATTACCTGCAATGGTCCCGCCTTCCGAATGTAATGCACGACGATAACGAACTTCAGATTACTATCTCGCCAATTATTACAATCATTACTCGGACCTCGTGATAGTTTAACTTCTTTGCAACTCTGATGAACTTAATTTTCATTGGCCACAAGGTTGAGTGGATTCTCTTTTGAAACTGGTATAAATTATATCCGGAAAGCCTCTTTAAAAGTAGCTATTTTGCATCACCGAGCTAATTATTTCTCATTAATGAAGGAAATGCGTTTCGACAAGAAGTAACTTTATAAAATATATCAGTATAATTACTGTTCAATATATTATATATTTTGTAAAACGTAATATATCATTTTATATTGTTTCGATTCATCTAATAGCTATAATTTTATATTGATCACTTTCATTTTATTCCCTGTTTGTTTTTCGATTCACGTTTCCGGATAGTGCCAACCATCAGTCTTCCGAACGTGGTAAAACGCAGAGGCAACCGTTCCGACATCACGTCCGTAAATGTCACATCAGCAACGTCGCCATGGCTTTTAAACGTTATCGAAAGAAAGTCGTTAGTTCCAATTCTGGCCGTTGCAATTAAAGGACGCGAAGCGGAAACTTCACGCCGCGCCGTCAGAAAGGCCTTGCCCTTCTCTCTCTCTCTCTCTCTTTCTTGGCCGTTACCATCTTTCTACAGATTCGACCGACACGTAGGTTAGTAGCCCGCTGGCAAAGTTTATTGGCTGCGACCCTTGACCACGTAGGGCCGAGGTGGCTACACCCCGGCGCACCATTGTCGAGCGATAAAAGGGCGCGCGCGAAAACGAACCGTCCGTGAGGAACGAGAGAAGTCGAAAAGAGAGCCCCGAGGTGAGACCACTTTTCGTCTTCTCCTGCCTGCTCTCTACCAACCCCCTTCCCTTGCAGTACTCCTCTGTCAGACTGGTGGAAATTAGTTCTTGGCCGTAGAGCACGGAATTATTGCCTCTTTCAAAGTCGCTCGCTGCACTTGCATTCGAAGGCGAGTGAGAGATGCGAAGAGAAAAGCGCGCATGTTGGAGAGTGTAAGAAGAGAAAAGGAGCAGAGAAACAGAGAGAGAGAGAGAGAGAGAGAGAGAGAGAGAGAGGGAGGGAGAGAGAGAGAGAGATCAAGAAAGAGCTAGTAGGTGTGCTTCCGTGTGCGTTGCGCTGAGAGAGGGTGGGAGGGTAGTTAAACCGAGACTACGAATCTACGATATTGAGTTAGAAGTAAGGCGGGCCGACCCTGAAGTGGGGGCTAATAAAATTTGATGACCGGGAACTTCGTAATGAGAATGAGACGCGGAAAGGAGGTGAAATCGAGGGAGGCAGAGAGCAAGTAAGAGAGAATGGAAGAGAGACGAAAGCGGTCGGCTATGAAAACTTCTCAGACATAGCGAGCCCGCGATTTATGATATTTCATCGGACAGCCGCGGAGTCCGGAGAGTAATCTTTTGTAGTCATTAATTTTCTTTCGCTACGTCGTCGTAAGTTGCAGCCGCCTTTGTCGGAAATAGCGCAGCTGCGGATATTTATGAATTTGCTACTCCGACGCGTGAAATTTAATCAACGCCCACGGATACTGCGTTAATTATTCACCGTAGCTCTATTGCGTGTTAAATCTGCTTACGAATTCTCCGCGACGTCTAGTCTCAACAATCCTCGATCGACCGATAATGCTCGCACTTCAGATTTCAAATTTGATTTCTTAAAAGTTTTAATTAATCCGGCGATCCTCGATCTAAAAACATTCTAAGACGTAAATATGTATTCTTTGATAAGAAAATTATTTCTGCGGTATATTTTCACAAAAATAGATCAATTGTATTTTATGATTATCCCAAAAAACGATTATATTGCGATCGCAAACACAAAGTCTTCAGAGACATAATTAGTCATTTTTTATTGCCAACTAAATATATTCATTGATAGAATTGTAAATATAGTTATCATTACATAACATTATAGTAATAATAATTATATTGTAATTATACAAATACTAAAAATTTTTTCTCTCAGTACACGTTATCAGCTTTTCCTCTATAATCTATATCATGTCTTAAATTGTTACATACGAATACTTCATAAATGAGATTAATACAACTTAAAAAAATCAACCGGTATTATTACAACGCATCTTCAAAAGAAGCTACCAGTAGTGTTATTGGCTGCGAAATTATGTTGTGTAAGAGATTGCCGTGAGATTGCCCGTTGAATGAACCGAAAAGTCATCTCGCGCCTCTTCGAGCTTTCGCCTCGTTCGAATCGGTAACTTTGCGTACGTGCCGCGTTTGGGATTCCGCCGAGGACCCGCCATAAAGTCGTCAGGGCACAATCGCGCGTACGAAAGTAGAACCACGAAGCGCGAGAAGTAGGAAAATACGAGAGAGGAGCACGTGTGGTAGACGAGAGAGAGAGAGATAGTAAAAGGGACAAAGGAGGACAGTTATGGGAGGACAGGAGAGGGATAGTAGATGAGGGTATATGTACCGAGACGAAAGAGAGGAGAAGTGGCTTTCCGACGCGCGAGCAAGCTCGCGATTTTCCCGTCACGTAGAGATGCGAGCTCGACTAGACGACGAGGACGACGACGACGACGACGACGACGACGACGACGATCAAATTTGTTCGGGAATTCGAAATCGCTGGGACGGAACGATGGGTTGGGAATAAAGTGTATGCGGCAGCCGAGTGCGTTCGCGCCCGCCGCGCCCTAGGAACCTTTCAGTTGGTTCACCACGAGTGCAAGGAGGAAGAGACGAGTCGATGGAGAAGGAAAGAGCGATTCGACATCAAAAGGTGTCTACCGGTCGTTCAACTGACTTCGGTTCGAGCTTACCGAAAGACAGCCTCGTCTCTGAAAATCATGGTTACCGTCCCGGAAAATCACTGTATCGCTCCGGAGCCGTGCGCTAAGTCAAAGGATACGTTCTTTCTTCCTAGACGCGAGATTCTTCTAGTATAAAACTCCATCGTCAAATTTGGCGTTTTATTTGAGTCTCCTTGAAAATTGCGAGTATATACGGATCATCTTTATTATTGTTTAGCGCATCTTTCGTGAATCATCTCGATAATATAAAATTATTGATTTTGCAGAAAAAAATAGAGAGAGAAAGAAGAGAAAATTAAGAATTTAATGTAATGAAAGTTTATTAAAGTATCTCCATCAGCGTTAATAGTAATGCGATGTAAATACAATGATGCCGATATCACTGATTGATTGCTAAAATTTCTAAAAAATGTTGAATGACATAAAAAGGCGATTTACTTTATTCGGTTATCATTGCAAATTAAGAAAAATTAGATCTCGCAACTACTTTTGCGTAATGCGACGAAAATACTGATTTCATGTTTTATAGTGAATAATTATTTTTCTTTTAAAATGAATCGAGGCTAAATGATTTTATGCGTAAATTGGTGGTCAAATATCAAGCATACCAGGCGTCATCAGTGATTTTCAGTCGTGCAAATATTTGCCCGTGTAGGAATTACGGAATTCAATCTTGATAATACCGCTTCCATGAATTTTCGATCTTTGACGTGCAGTAATGACGTCAAAGAAATGTGGAATTTCATAACGTTGTCGTTAATGTATCGCGCTCGTTATTGCAACGAAACAACTAGAAAGGCTTTGGTATAATTACAGTTAATACGCACGTCCGCTGCACTCGCTCGATTGCAGGTTACACCGCGATCGCGGTGTCAGAAAACAAACCAAAAGGTGCATACTCAAACGCTATTTTTTTCCACAAAAAATATAATATGTAAACATAAATTTTTTAATGAACACATTCCATGAATGCTTCAATAAAATAATAAAACGTTTTCATATGCTTGTGTGAGACAAATATGAAATATGAAAACCTTTTGTATATGTATATGTTTTTATGTATGTCGGTGTCAGCGCAATAAAGCTCTTTTTATCTAAAAAAAAATTTAATTTTTTTTTTATACATTACACTTTAGCTTTTGTATTTATTTAATCAAACGTTCGACGTCTCTGTTCTCGACAAATGCGAAATGTTTAGCAAATATATTATTTTCGTCGATGCTCATTCAATCTCTCTGTCATCCATTTTAAAACTGTTGAACAATAAGAATCATCCAATCGTCCTCTCAGCGACGCGGCGAGAACTGGGTCGAACAACTGCTAGAGACTAAATCTC